GACCTCCTTACACCGTCATCTCACCTTTTTGTATCGTATCATTTTTTCTTTTGCTTGTATTTAAATTTTAAATTTGAATTGTTCCATGTTCCTTCGCTTTCTCATTTTGCTTCTTACCACGGTCACTCTCTTCGCGATCGCGGTAGCGAAAACATCTACTTTCTTATTTTTGAACCGTTTACAATTTTAAGATATTAATATTGTTGTTGTACTGAATAAATTCCTATAAACCGGACTTTCGTCTTTTCAACTGCTAAAACTTGCTAAGTAAGTCGTATGGAGGCTGCGGGGGCTGCGGAGGCTATTACTACCCTTGGACCAGGCCATATTACTGCTATCCAGGCTATTTTACAGTCTACAGAACGCTACCAGCACCAGCAGCGCCATTACACTAGTGCCCTAACTAATTTTAGAAGAAACTATGAAGAATACCAATAAATGAAGAACAAGACAGTGAAATTTTTTTTAATAACAGTGAAATATTGTGAAAAGTGACGTTACATAATTCATAGTACACCGCAGATCGCCTACACACCCCATATTTCAGACAAGAGACGACTGCCGTTACATTCAGCTGGTTACAAATGTAACTGAAACCAGAGTTGGTGTACCGGTAGCACAACAAGCACAGTCCTATCAAACACCAAACTATCCAGAAACTCCAACAGTACACTTTCGTCATATCTCGATATCTACCCATGTGTAGATTCACAAGTCGTTGAAACTTGGAGTTTAAACCTTCGGTTATTCCAAGCGGAGACGATACTGACTTACAGCTTGTTTTGGGAGAGTATCCCTGCAAGTCACTACTACTCAACAATATACACCACATAATAACATAACCACATCTCATTGTAGTATTTATAAAATTTTCTTAAATTACGTAAAACATTTTCTTCTTCTTATAAATGTTATGGCTCCATCGAAATAATCAATGATTTTGCCAATGTCAAGTAAAAATAACTATGTACGGTAGTTTAGTATTATTATAAAAATTATACAAAAAAAAATGGCGATTTCGCCTATGTCCTGTGAGAATTTTCAAATTTTCAAACATTTTCTATTATTTTGTAATTTTTAATTGACATAATTCATTTTCGTTTAAAATTCAAATTTTTTACTTATGTCAAATTTATTTTTCTGTTTTTTTTTATTTATTAAGGATTTGGCAAAGCCATCAGCCTAAACATGAAGTTTAATTATGTTTCTGTAAATATGGCCGCCACAAAGAGGATAGGCAATTTGAGGCGGCGTGATTGGATTGACTCGGGATTCCTTAACACGGGCGGATACGGGTATTTTAGTTCGAGATTCGTATATTTTCGCGTTTTAATCTTCGATTAAGGCACAATAGCATTATCCTATTCCACTTTAAACTAGATTTCACAGAATAAGTGAAAGTCAAAATAAAAACGACACTTTTCCCTCCAAAAGGTCCAGAGCGAATCTTATTTTTCTCGTAATAGTGCCATAATTTATTATTCACATTTCTTCTTTTAAATAATTCAAAAAGTTTGTAAACCGAACTGCATATAATAATACTCTTTTGTCATTTTTTCTTAATACGATGAAACGATCAGTCAGACAAATATCTTAAAAAGTTACCGTGAAAAGCCGAGACGAATAATAGAAACCTATCTAATAATTCATCACCATATTTTTTCGGTTTCATTTACGTTGTCTTTCTTCAGAGCGGTTGACTACTCTCAAAACAAGCCTATGAATATGAATATATAGTAAGAGTATATTTAAGAATGACCCTAACTCTAAAATATACTCTTACTATATATTCATATTCTATTTCCCCTAATTACTCCCTTTTAAACCTTCGTCCCTGACGTGCTGCTGTACCTTAGCGTACAGGCCAGTGGGCATTGAACCACTTGTACACATAGAGCATCATATCCATTACTTTCACAATGTTGGCGGGTGGTGACCAACACAAATTTAAGCCTTACACCGTCGTGGGCGCCTTTACGAGAAACTCCCTTTACCTGTGGTTAGGGTTTTTCTCTATTCTCATAGGCTGGTACATATGCGGGAATACGAAAGTTTTGTGAAAATGGTATGAAAAGGGTACAAAAGGTTTTGTGAATGTAGTTTGAAAGGGGAAGTCGACCCAATGTATTATTTATCATTGACATATCTAAACTTCTCACGGATCTTCATTGAACCTATATTTCTCTTAAATTATATTATTAGCTACCTTCCCTTCTCTTACAATAATCCTCTTCTATTCTCTTGCCTTATTCCGTTTTGCTATTCCTCTTATAATATACCTTTGTTATTACACTTACTTTTCTCCCTCCTCTATTACTTCTTACACTTACTTTTCTCCCTTGTCTATTACATTTACTCTACCCCTTCTCTGTCACTATTCTAACTTTATTCTCTTTCTCTTTCAGCTTCATACTTCAAAAAAATCCTGAATGATTTTTTTTTCTCCGGCCCCCCGGGTATCTAACTGGGTCTCAGATTTCTCAGATGGCGCTACGGTTAAAAAGTCGTTGAAAAACCAAATACAAAGAGGTGACAACAAGCACATAGAAAAATTCGTGAGGTCCGCTGGGTCGTTCCGTGGCTTAGTTGGTATAGCGTCTGACACGCTATGCCAAAAGACGTCGGTTCGAATCCGGCCGGGTCGAAGGATTTTTTTCTGAGTGTTCAAACTTTGTATTAATCATTATAACAATACCTATATTATTATAATAAATAAATAAATTGCACGCGTCGCGCTGCCAACCTGTAAGGGTGCTGGTGAAATTACAGGTACATGGCAACTTATATACCTTAACTGCCTCCGTGGCTGAACGGTTCCCATGCTGGACTACCACGCAGAGGTCCAGGGTACGGATTCCCCGGCCAAGAGAAATATTTGTATGGCTTACATTTATTTTTCTCGTGAGTGTGGGTGTAATTTGTGGTTGTCTGTGTGTGTCCATGGCACCCGCAATATAGTGCGTGGCTATAAACGTGCGCAAAAAAAACATTTCAGGGTGAAGGGCGCAGTGGTATTGCCTCTCAGTTCTTGAGATTTAAATCGTACAGGGCCTCGCAATCAAGCCACAAATAAGTACTTAAAAGAGAGATAAGAGGTAGCGGTCTTAAGAAGACGAACCTATTACTCATATACGAGTATAACCGATCTTTAAACCACCTACAATTGACATGATTGGTAGGTAGGTGCGTTAAAATTAGACTTAAAGTAGGCCAACGTGTGAACCTTAATTCAAACGCAATCAAGTCGAAAATTCCTAAAGATTTTGCAATCTCGTCACACCCATTGTGCCACGGGCACTGGCACAAAATGTCATTAGAACAAATTGTATAAAACCACTGTGATAGATAAGAAATATCCTTAAGAGTCGTTAGACAGACGGCAATGTATATAATGAGTTTATCTGTTGCCTTAGGGAAGGAATGTTCTTACTGCTAAGTAAATTCCATTCTAGAAAATATCCAAATTTTTACATAAAAAACAGGGTGACCTGACACGTCGCTTTCCCACAGGATATCAAAACAAATTAATCATTATCGAAAATGGATATGTACAGATGCAGCCCCCTACGTCAATTAAAATCTTCAATAAAATATTTGAAAATATCAAATCCAAACAAAATCATTTATAAATAAACTAAAAGAACTGCTAATACAAAAAAACTTATTATAAAATTGGAGAATATTTGAATGATAAACCAATAACTGCACAAATAACAATAATGATTATCTTATTTATGTAATTTTTAACGTTGACTATTGTGCTCTAAATATTTATATTGGTTTTAATATCTCATAAATGTAATTCGGTAATGACATTTCTTGTATACGAGATTAATAATTATTTAAGTTATTATCACTGTAGTGCCCTTACAGGGTTAATGTGTTGGAATACAATTATGTAACAGCTCTGTTAATCCAAATATTGAATAAATGAATTATGAAGGAAATAATACTATAGTGTTGATATTTTCTTTTAAAACATTATCAACCCATTATACTGTATATGCTTCGCAGAGGTCCCGGGTACGATTCCCGGGCCGAGAGAAATATTTGTATGGTCTATATTTCTCTCGTGTAATTTGTGATTGTCTATGTGTATCCACGTCACCCGCAGTACAGGGTTTCCCTAGTGCGGGGTTTTATTATTACACGTACCACAGCTGGGCAAGGGGTTCAAGATGCACGTTGTTACGTCTTCCAAGTCCTATTTGGCGTGGTAATTTTGTTCCTCGCAAAACCGATAACATCTTCATAGGTTTGTAGTTAAGTAATTAATAGAGCCGTGGTTAGCAATGGTTTGATCTACCGCTTCTCAATGCAGAGGCCGTGGGTTCGAATCCGGCCTCGCACCTCCGAGTTGCTCGGAAATTTAGGTGCGAAATTGAATTTGAAATTTACCACGAGATTTTCTTGAAGGAAAACATCGTGATGCATGAAGAAAGGTTTACAACTCCGCGTTGGGTCAGCGTGGCGGATAATGGCTTAAGAGCGGCAACTCCCTTTCTCACTACTACGTTAATTAAATTTATATGAAAATATAACGTAATAACGTTGACAGCAACACATTATCAAACTATAATAACATAGCAAATATTCTACTAAAACATGTATGTATAATGGAATGAAAATACAAAACACTACGCGATAACACGCATACAAACGTGGTTAGATAAGCCGACCGATTTCAATGGACCGGAAGCCCCGAAGCTGCGAATACTCTGACGCTCTTTACAACATGCAACTCCATTTCGACCTTAACGCAAATAAAATAAACTCTATACTCCGATAACGTCTATACTCCGACTACTCGATAATCCGGGCTGAGGGGAAAGAGGAGCGCGGACAATAGTGGTTTGTTCTTAGTTCTTTAGTGCTCCGCGAGACGTCAACGTGAGTCCACGTTTCTTTTTATCACACTCAAATGCCAGATTTCTTGTAAACTTACCGGCGTAATAATGTCAACTCCAAGAAAACACAAAACACTAACACTAAAGGACAAAATGCAAATCATAAACATGCTGGATAACGGTGAAACAATGACAGATGTTGCTTTGCATTACGGCATTGGACGTTCTACAATTTACGACATAAAGTTAAGGCGTACTAAAATAATGGCGAACGTGAATAATATTTCCGAGAATCGGAGGACTTTGAAGCTCGGACAACATCCGGAATTGGATGCGGCGTTGTATAATTGGTTTTTAGAGCAACGTGCTATGGATATTGTTGTTAATGGTGACAAATTGAAAGAAATGGCTAAAGAGATATATAAACGTATAGCGCAACGGGACTTTAAAGCGAGTAGCGGATGGTTAGATAAGTTTAAAAAGAGATATGGTATCAAATTTAACACTTCTGGCACCGCTGGTGAAAAAGCTTCCTTCCAATCTCATGACGAAAATGTGATTGTTAACTTTGTTAAATCTTTCAAAGAAAAGGTACAACAACTGGGCCTAATTCCAGACCAACTGTACTGTATTGATGCCAGCAGCGTATCGACGAAAATTTTAACTGATGCTGCTCATAGAATGGAAGACAATGAAGAGAAAACAATAAACACAGACAAAATAACAATTATGCCCTGTTCAAACGCCACTGGCACTCACAAATTTAACTTATTTGTATGCAGTAAAGAATCTCTTAATAAAGATTTAACACATTTATCATCAATGTGTTATTATAAACAACAAACTAACGCTTGGATTACCAGAGATATATTTACTGAATGGTTTCACGACGAATTTGTACCAACGGTAAGGTCTTTCATGACCATGAATAACTTACCGGAGAAGGCTCTTTTGATTTTGGACGAAGCACCAGGTTACCCTGAAGAATATCATTTGAAATCCAACGATTGGATGATTAATGCCTTTTTCCTACCACCTGAATGTTCCCATTTGATACAACCTATGAACCACGACCTTATACAAACTATAAAGAGTACTTTTAAGAAGAAAATCTTACTAAACGTTTTATCGAAGGACGATGGTGTAAAAAAGAGCCTTCAAGGCATGAATATAACAGATTTATTGTATGTTTTAGCGGAAGCTTGGAATTCTTGCTCTCCGAATATAATTAGAAGTTCATGGAAGAAGCTCTGTCCAAACTTAGAGATATCTGAAGAGATTGATAGTACTATTAGTATAGAACAATTGTTACTAGCGTTGAGAGATTCAGGAATTGACGAAAACGGACTTAGGGATTGGTTGATCGGGAAGACGGAAGAAATTCATGACGTTTTCGATGATGATATTGGTGATGTGAATTTTACTAAAGTTAAGCCAGAAGATCCATTGGAGGCGCTTCCCCTTGATATTGACGTTTGTGAACATGGAGTCGTAAAATCAGAAGACATTTAAATAACTTTGGTAATTTGGTAAACCAGGACAGTCTTTTTTTTTTCTTATAAGAAGAGATCGGTTTATGTTGAGTATATTTACCAAAACTTTATGGCATTATATACATATACATAGAGTGTAATTCCCGAATTATTTTGTTCTAAACCTTAAAAACAACCTCGGGGCCTAACGCATTGCATTGTGGGTGCAAAAGAAGGTCTCAGGTTCGATTCCCGGTAGGATCAATTTGGGAAATGAAATTTTCCAAATTGATTAAATTTTTATTGAATTGATATTCAATTATTTTTTTGTAAAATTAACTACTAAAAAGTCGTTGAAAGACCAAGTACAAAGACACGACGCAAGCACATAGAAAAATTCATGAGGTCCGTTGGTTCGTTCCGTGACTTAGTTGGTATAGCGTCTGGCACGGTATGCAAGAAGACGTCGGTTCGAATCCGACCGGATCGAAGGAATTTTTTGTGAGTGTTTTTTCTGAGTGTTCGATCTTTGTATTAATAATTAATTTTTCCAAATTGGTTTTGGTTTGGGTGTTTTGGGCAGTGCTCCGAAGGGAAATTGGTTGGTAATTGATGTATTTATCTGATACATATTATTACGTTGCTATTTTAGTTAGGTGTATTGTGATAAGAGCCTATTTCGTCTTTTTTATTTGTATAAGCATTCTGATAATTTGGCATACATTTAAAATTACAGCTTTGTTTGGTAATGTACAACTTATTACTACTTATACTTTAAAGGGTTACCTTAAACTGTAACTAGTAGTTACTTTACTACAATTATTAAAAATATAACTATTTGGTGTTAATTTTTCGTTTTTTCCTTTTAACCGTTGCGGGATTTCAGGCCATCCACTGTTTGTAGGTATTGATTGAAGTTTAATAAAAATATATGCACTTAATTTAAAGTGTTTTTGATTTGTTAGTCTAATTAAGTTTTTAGTCTTTGTCTCAAATCTTACGTTCTATTTTTTTGCAGTAAATAAGAGCAAACCTTATCTTGTAAACTATAACAAAAGTGTCTTTTTAGTTTATTCCGTTAGATTAAAAGATGAGATTTAAATGTAAACAAGTACGTATTCCGAAATGATAGTGCTTGACTTTAGCTCGTGTTCCTAGAACAATAAATCTAACGAGAATCAATGAGGACACATTGACTGAAATAACGAATAACTCGAGTATTTAAGTCGATTTTTTTGACATGTTTCGAATCAATTCGTAGTCCTTAATCATGAGATTCCGCGGCGGTGACTCGACGAAAATTGCTATACTAAGTTATCTGTTATTTTAGTTAATTATGTATTTAAAATCAACGAGGAACTTTGTTTTTTTCGAAATGACTCCAAAAGGAGAAGGTTCTCAATTGGAGTTTTATTCTTATGTGTGATACGCGATTATTCCGACAATTGTGAACCGATATCGATGGTTCTTTTTTTGTTGGAAGGAAAAAGGAAGGGGTGGTACCCGGTAGCGGTTCCAAAATATTCCACCTCTAAGGTTGGCAAAGTAGGGGATGAATCCGGTTTCGCGCACTTTTCGGTAACCGATTTAAATAAAACTTAGCAAATAGATGTAATTCCACGAACTCTCTAGGTCGGTTTTTTAGTACTCTGTAATGAGATTATTTATTTTATTTTGTACTTTACAAGGTATGTAAAACGCAAAGAATGTTTGTAAAAATTAAATAATGACATAATCTCAGTACAGAGTACTAAAAAAACCGACCTCAAAAGTACGTGGAATTACGTCTATTTGCTAAGTATCATTGAAATATCCCCTAATTCGCCACTACACAGGACTTGATACTGGAGATAATAAAAATAGGTTCTCACTACGACACTACTCAAAGTATATCGAGGGAAAAACGCCTTGAATTGGATAAATAGCAAAATCAACTAAATAATTGCTAAAAGTAATTGCTACTAAATTAAAGTTAGGCGCTATTTATAAAAATGAATCTTCATACGTGAACAGCCACCCTTAGAGGTGGATGATTTTCTTCAAAATGAAATGGGACTACTATGGAAGTACCCCCTTTCCAACAAAAAAAGAATCATGAAAATCGGTTCACAAATACCGGAGTTAACGCGTAACATACATACAAAAAAAAAGAAAAAAAAAGAACATACAGTCGAATTGAGAACCTCCTCCTTTTTTGAAGTCGGTTAAAAATAAATACTCTTAACTTAAATCTTGTATGAATAGAATGTATATAGATAGGGACGTCAAATCACAGACCTACTAGATATATCAATTGATTGTATCCAAATCCGAGAAATGACGGTCCGAAATGTTACAGGGATCATTTTATCTCTAGGTGTATAAGCGATATTCGTATTTTTTCGGATTCGGATGGGACTTAGTACACAAGCGACATCAGAAGTGGGTCCGGGTTTTCTATATTTGTATAATCTCGGATTCGGAATGAATATGAACTGAAGGATGTATTGCGCAAAAGCACTAAGGGTAATAAATTAGGGAATGATTCCGGTTTATTGAATATTACCCACTTTCAGTTATCCAATTTCAATCAAATTTGGCACTTAGATATAATTCCAATGAAAACGGTGACAATGTGGTAACCTAAAGCTTTCTGATGATGGAAATGGCAGACAGATGAGACGAACTCCTCAGCAATGTCCAGCATCTACCTTTTGTTTGGACTCAAATGATTCGTTTTGACGAAGACTTCCATATGTATATACCTATATATATTTAGCAGTAGACCTCCTTGTGAAAGAGCCGACCTCCGACTTTTGCGTTTTAAAGCTCGGAGTGGCACTCAACTGTTACGGATAGGCGTGTCGCTTACCAACAGGCGCATGACTTGTTCGTCCCGTCACTTGGTATGATGAAAAAAATGCGTTTCAGTTATCAATGAGGAGAGAATGAACACAGTGAAAGGGAATAAACTTACTTTTAAGGTAGGTGTTTTTTAACAAGTCCTGTGTGTGGTGGTCAATGACACGCCTTCGCATAACAGTTGCAGTGCCACTTAGTTTCAATTGTTGAACCATAGTAACTCATAGGCAGTTTAAGTTTAGTGCCGTCAATTCGTAAAGGTATTTACAACTTCACGCAATAGTCAAGTTAAATTTAACGCTTCTTGAGAACACAAATTCTTAGGTAAATTCCACCGTTATTCATTTTCACATTTATCTGTGAACGGTTTGGTCGCATTAGGGTCACGGGTCAGCACAAAGGGCTCTCGTACGCAACGTTAAGCTATTACAATGTTTTGTGGGTTATTAACGTTATTAACTGGTTACTATCGTGACGCTGAAGAATCCTAGGGGCGGTAGAGGCCTCGAAAATAATTGAGGGCATTGATGCTGTCCAGGAGTGATATCGCATTTGAAAAAAAATACACTACTACATACATGTATTTTTTTTCCTATGTCAGTATAAAAAATACGTGTTTTCAATAATTTTCTGTGGTGGTGAGCGTTGAATTTTTTTTCATTTTACTTGCTTTTAATTAATTAAGCAGATATATGTTGTTTATTATGTATTTTTTTTGTCTTTTTTCTTTTTCGTTACTTGTTGTTTCATAGTTGTGTGTGCTTGTGGAAAGTCAATAAGCGTATTCTATCTATCTATCTATTTTGCCTCTGTGGGCGATGGACCAAAAAGTTTGGGATTGTATCGTTCTATTTAACATTCTTCTACCCACACAAATTACGTGGTCTCAAGCTAGGGAATTCCGTGTGTCGTGAGTACCAGAGTAACGGCGTTCGCTCTGGGGCACTACACAGAATACCCCAACTACACACAATTAAAAAAAATACATTTCCCAAATTGGTCCTATCGGGAATCGATTCCGGAACCATAGTGTAAACGTTGGACCACCAAGATGGTCAATGTCCAGTAATACAGTAGAGCTCTTTGTGAAAGAGTTTGTCCAGGGTAATGCTTTACCTATTTCTGCCGCCAAGCAGTAACATCCGAATTACCGTGTTCCGGTTTTGAAGGGCAAGGGTGCTGGTGAAATTACAGGCACATGAGACTTGTCAACTTATGTCTCGGGGTGACGGGCGCAGGGGCACTGTAACTGTTATGGACAGGCGTGTCGCTTACCATCAGGCGTACGATTTGTTCGTCCCGTCACTTGATATTATAAATAAAAGGAGATGTGGTGTAGCTGTAATGTCTGTCAAACATTCTTCGCATAGTTTTTTGAGTTCACGTTTCAGATTGTTCTTCTATCTTGTATACGTGTAGGTACAGACAATGGATCTTTAGTTGGTGTTAATCTATGGATTATTGTCACTAGCTTTTTATATACGTACGTTCTTTCTGATTATTTTTTATGACGTCAAGTTACGTGACGAGTAATGTTCCTCTTAGGTTTAAAATACGTAGTGTGATTGGTTGTAAACGACGCGCGTCAACGCAGTGCTAGAGGTGCACTGGCAATGCAACCGTCACCCTGAGACTTGAAGTTGACAAATTCCATGTGTAGTTTCACCAACGCTCTCACCCTTTAAAACAGGAACGTAGTAATGTTCACAATATTGCTTGCCGGCAGAAATACGTGAGGTAGCAGTACTTCCCTAGAAGATTGGAAGAAGAAGAAGAAATTTGTCATTAGTTGACATATTAAATAAATGATGTGTTTCTACTTATTTAAGTAAAAATGGCAATTTTTTTAACGAAACCAGTCTGTAAACCAACTTAAATAAGAAAAAAACCTGTAGTAATTTATAACCTACAAAACCTGCCTTTCAAACACCATTACACTACAATCCATAGACAATAACTTTATCTACAAAATATCTATAACACTATAAACAAGTGCCTTCAAGGCCGCCGCTCTACGTTTGCAATACCTGCGCGTGATTGCATAGTTTATATACATTGTACATACCGTTGTTGTAATGTTGATTGGATGTTATCTGAAACAAAGGAAAGAGAATTTATTATAATTATAATTCTCATTATATTTATAAAACATCACTATATCAATAGCGTAAAAGCGATTAATTAAAATTTAGACTCATATAATAGTAAAGATAAATTGTCTGCCTTTCTGTTTTTTAACCGATTTCAAGAAAAGGAGGCGGTTCTCAATTCGACTGTGTTTTTTGTGTGATATTACGCAATCCCTCCTGTATTTGT